GCAAGCGCTGTGATTGCTAGAACCGCTCCCCGGGTTTCACACTCTCCCTCTGCATGTGTAATTGCGCGTCAACGCGGACAACGACGCAGATATATAAATGAAAACCAACGCGTAGTCTATAGCGTAGAGAGGCTCCGGTGTAGGTCCGACGCAGAATTATAAATCAGCCTAGAGTGAGGTGAAGTGGTCGAGCACAGGTGCAGCGACAAGCGGTTGCGTTCCTGTGAAACTATTGCGGTCATGCTCGCCTCACGCACGCGCCCGCGCGTTGCCGAAGTTCAATTGTCTAACTTTTTGTACACGACGCGCAGCACAAATCATTGGAAGAGAGACTGATCCTCGGCTCGCTGTTTGTGAGTTTCCAGAATCTAAATAGTTATCAGGACATCAACAGGAGGGAATTCACATGGCAGAGCATCCCCGCTAAACTAAACGCAGGCCTATCAGGTAAAGTTATGTATAATTTTAATTTAAGTTAAAAAGGCTACAGCTGCGTAGCGCACAAAAGCCGTGGCCATGGTTACTATCCATAGAGCGCCTGTCATTCACTCGCGGAGCGCTGTCTCCCTTTCTGTTCACCTGAGAGAACCTGCCAAAGCCTCTCCACTGCTTGTTTGGGTGGGTTATTTGCTGGCTGACCAACATCCCACCCCTCCTGTGATCATGGTTTGACTGTAGGCCTATTTGTATTCAGAGCCAGTGAGCAACGGACTTTCAAAATAATAATAAAAAAAAAACTGCGTTAACGCGCGATAAAAAAATTGTCGGCATTAATTAATAAATGCGTTAACGCGATAATAACGCGTTAACTTGCCCAGCACTAATTATTTTATTTCATTGTATTTTACCCATTCATAAAATAAAATAAAAATAGATGTATACGTTTGTGTAATAAAAATGATAATTTTATACCCCTCAGCTCCCAGAGCCCCTCATTCTTTTCCGATACTATAACGACTTCATCGGATTGGCCAAAGAGAGTCAGAGTATCATTGTTGATGAAGTAGAGGCGTCAAGAGGAAGTCCCGCATCCGACAACCGGCAGATCAGCGTAGAGCTCAATCGAGTCCTCTTCAAGATTAAAGATCTGCTGCGTCAGCTTCCTCCAGCCCACTACAAAACCCTGCAGTTCCTTGTTCAACACTTACACAGGTGTTTTAAAGAGTATATGTTTTAATTAGAATATAGAAGAAAACTGCGTCAGAAAACACAGTTTGTAATCACATTTTTCTTTCTAATAGGGTGTCAGAAAGGGCAGATGAGAACAAGATGACTGCCAGTAATCTGGGGATCATCTTTGGGCCGACACTGATCAAGCCCCGACAGGCCGATGCGGAGGTCTCTCTGTCCTCTCTGGTAGATTACCCCTACCAGGCCCTGATCGTGGAGCTTTTGATCCGCCATTACGAGATGATCTTCGATACTCCTCTGAGTCCTCTTCCTCCTTCCTCCCCTGTAGCCGAGAGCTCTCCGCTCCCCATCAAATCACGTCTCACGTCACAGGATAAGCATCAACAGCTTAGCCGACATTCAAAATCCATGGTGGATATTAAGGAGGTGAGGTGGTTTGTTGATGTTTATGATGCTGATTATAGTAATGGGTAAAAAATATTGTTTATTTCAATATAATCAAAGTCGCTACCCTGCTGGAAAGTCCATCAGAAACCAACTTCTGGCCCAAACTAGTCACTACCTGGTCAAGATGGTAGTTTACTGTTTTGACCACCTTTGGCCAGTAATAGTTGGGTTTTTTGTGTTGGGTCCACCAACTGGTTTTTCCATCAGAGAATAGATCAGACCAAACCTTAGATGTCTAAATGAACCAACTGAAAATTCCTTGAGTCTAATAAAACAGTATCTTCTTTAATTTTTCCATCTTTGTTTCATTTGTCAAAGCAGCAACAGTCAAAGGCTAAGGCATATAAAAGACATTCCTCTGTAATACCTTCTACTCACTTGATGGATGAGGTGAAGATAAGTTCTGACAAAGACTTCGCTGCAGGTCAGTATTGTTTTACTTTGCAAAAAAAACAAACAGAAAGTGACATATTGTCATACGACGAAAGCTTCTACTTCTCTCTCTGTTCGTCTTTGCATGCAGTTGGCGATACAGTGGACATCAACAGGCCCCTTTCATCAAGCGTTCCTGAAATGAGGAACTCGCCCGGCCTCAGCCGCCGCAACCACGTCTCCAGAGTTCAGCTTCGGCCACCGAGACCCAAGCTGGCCTCTCGACCGATCAGCATGCCAGCCGAGCGGCTCCTCAACCTCGCCAAGGTGGACGAGTGTAACGTGAAGAACTCCGTAGAGCAGGGTGACAACCACGGTCGTGATCCCGTCATCGAGGAGGTGTCCGAAGAGGAGAAGCCCAAGTCCAGAGCGGGAAACCATTACAGGAAATCTTATATCGATACGCAGACCCTACGGCGGACATGGGACAAGCAGTATAAGCATCACGACATCACTCCAAAGACCTTTGTGATTACAACCACCTATCCTTCTGATTCCGGGACCAATGATGCCAACGTTCACACTTCTTCTCTCACGTCATCGTCTTTTTCAGAACAAACCAAAACCGTCAGCACTGCTCTTGCTAACAGACCCTACACCATTGCTGTGAGGCCTGGACGGACTTTACGTAGGGAAGGAAACGTTAGCGAGTACTGCCCCGTTCCCACAGCCTTCAGGCCTCCTAGAACTCTGCAACCTCCTCCTGGAACGTTCTACAAACCTCCAGGTAGCAAAACCAAAACATTAACAGAGGTCGAGCTTAAGTCTAGTAGAGCAACCGCAAACAGCACCGAGGAAGAAGAGGAGGATGACGATGACGATGAGGAGGAAGGGTTTGGGGTGGAAGTCTCGGTTGATGAACCTGAGACAGATTTGGATCCAGAACCATCACCAGTGCTGGATGCCCACAATACAAGCCCACTTTTGCTTCCTCAGTCTCCCGGCTCCAGCCCGGAGGAACTCGGACAAAACGAGACCAAACCCGTGTACCAGAGACTCAGATCACACCGTATGCAGGATCTCGAACACAGGGAGGCACATTTTGTTTGAGATCTGGACACATATGACTCCAGAACTGTTGGTTAAGGGACAACCGGGAATGTCATCCCGGGACGAGGTCATTGTCTTTACGATTTTGTCTCGGACCTGTGAATTTTAGCAACGGCCCCATTTTGTGTATGTGGAAAGGTTTTCCTTAACTGTGAAGAGATGCAAGGACATGGTATATATCTATATATTAATATATTGTGCATCTGCTGTTTGTAATAATCAAACAAACCACTTGGACAAGAATTTACACAGTATGCACTTAATGTTTTTTAACTTTATCGCATCACTTATGCACAAAGTCAAAACAACCCGTTTTTGCATTATAACACCAGAACGTCACTGTCACCGTGCAATTTCATTTACACTGTATATGGATTTTTTTGTTAAAAAAAAATATAAATATATATATATATATTCTGTATATTGCTGTATTTTTATGTTTTACACCAAAACCAAAATGACCAAGCTGTTACAGTTGAGTATCGTCACTTTATTATAATCATAAAATGCACTTATTAGACTTTGGAACCACACATTTCACGCTACTGAATTGTTGAACTACATGCAGTGTTAATTTTGTTTTTCAAGAACAACAGACGGATGTAATCTGACCTGTCTGAGAGATGTACACTTTTTTTTTTTTTTTTTAAGTGTGCAAAGGTATTTTCTTTTTTGTCTTGTTTCTTTTTTTTAAACAAAAAATGCTGATATTAATTATTGTTTATAAGTCTATTCATAGAGAGCTTTTAGAAATGCAATTTGGCCCACATTCTATTAAGTGTACATAACAAATTGTAACAGTTTGCCCAAAGTTTCCTTTTTCTTATTATGTTTAATGGTCATATCAACAACAACTTAAATGTCAGTATACCCAAAACAAGCAAGTCAAGCCAAAGCAAGTGCCTTCATTTATGAGAGTCCACTGACTGGTTGTCCAACACAAATTAGCTGGTCTAAACTACATTTATCAGTTTAACACTCAATCAGTGGCTTTTGTAAATGGCACCCATGTATCTGATTATACTGGATAAACTGATTCCTTTAACAGCATTTTCAAGATGTCTTACCTTCCCTCAAGTGTAAAAACAGGTACATGTGAGAATACACACTTGTAACTTATTAAAACCACAGCTGATGTCATATTTGAGTTCATGTTTTTACTTGAAATTGTTCTGATGTACCTCTCAGAATGTGTTATCCTCATTATGTGTGCATAGAAATATGTTTTTGAAGCCCCAGCCATAAATGTAATCATAATTATATATGATAATTTAAGAAGAAAGAAAGGTTATGGTGGATGACAATGACTATTGTAACATAAGAAATTGTTTAAAAATCATCATCACTTATTATTGGTTGTTTTAACCTCATTTAATATGATGGTGGTGCATCTTGGATTAGTAGCTATATAAATAGCTATGTTAGGCATAATAAAAATTGTTAACTAATTTTGATTATGTTCAGTAACTAAGTTTTTAAAATGCTAATACTAAACTGAGGCAACATTGAAACGTTTTGTGAACGGCATCTGCATTTATTTGCAGGAGGGAAGTTTCCGCCATTGTGTGCACCATTGGGGCATGTTGTCACGTAAGATCGATGTTTGTTTACTGAACTTTTTTCCTGTGCAGTGACGATGAAAATGTCCAATAGATTTTTTTTTGTAGCCAGACTTTAAGGTATGTGTTTATACAGAAATACTGGATATATTCACTGGCGTAAATGTGTGACAACTAGCCCTGGTCTCCACTAGACTGCCCAGCCCCCCAAAAAAGTCACTGTTTGGATTTAAATAGGCAAATGCTTAGGAGTAAAAAAAAAAAAAAAAACTGGGGCTGGGCAGTATATGCATTTACTATTAGTAAATGAAAATGAATTTATAAGAGTTCCTATTCATCACCATTACTGTTAGTAAGGTCACAGGTCCAACGCAGCATAGCTTGGGCTCAGAGCACCGGCTCTCACACTGGTGAAAGGAGCTTAAATCAATCAGATTACAAACCTGCTTAACGTCTGCAGCAAGCCTACAGTCAGTCGAGTGAAGACGGCCATGAGCTTCAGCAGATGTAAGCGTAAAAGAGCCTTCTTCTCCTGAGGTGAGTTCTTTCTGTTTAATTATGTTTTGCATGTGTCCTTTAGCCATTTCCGGATGAATGGTTATTGAGTGTTGCATAAAGGAGCATGCAGGCCTGTTACGTAAGAGCACTGTGTTTGTCTCTAATATGCTGAACTGTATTTACAGCCCACACAAATCATTTCTTGTCTCATTATGTCTCATTATGTCTCATGACTGGTCTTATGATTTAGACAGTATTTATTTTGTACTTTTCTGAGGGGTTGAACTTGAAGACAGAAACAGTTTGGTTGCTTTGGTTTCTTGCTCATCTTCCCCTGCTGCCTTTGGGTTGCTCACTGGTGGATTGCAAGCCACTATTTTCTGTAAAACTCCTTTGGAACTAAACGCATGAAGTCATATATGGATTCTTAGACTGGATTATTAGACCTATTTGTTGCAATAATCAGACTTATAAACATCTTGACATGTCTGATGGAGATAAAATGTGTCTTTTCTTTCGTTGTTTTGTTCAGGTAGGTCACCTGTACGTGACCCCTGTTGGGGTGAAGAGCTGCAGTCATGGGAACCAACAGCCAAGTGCGGCTGCTCCTCTGGAAAAACTGGACTATCCGAAAGAGGCAGAAGGTGATCAGCTTGTTCCTTCACTATACGCAGCTGGAAATTACTACATTTAACTCAGCAAAAGGAAATTCCAGTCATGTTATGCCATCAATATGGGTTAAGATTTGAACTAGGACCTGAACAACTTCATCTGACTAATATATACAGCTCAAAATTTTTTATATTTACTGTAGGATAGATGTTCTTTGTCTGCATTATTTTCTTCTTGAGCCTTCCTAATGAATTTTCCTGTGTTTTAACCCCAGCCACGGCTCTTTATGGAGATTATGTGGCCTGTGGTGCTATTCATTGGACTGGTTTGGCTAAGAAGAGCGAACCCTCTTTACCGCCAACATGAATGTATGGATGGTTGAAGATGATTTTAATAGTTTATAACTAAATACATTTTGAAACATTTTATTTTCATAAAAAAAAAAAAAAACTTGAAACTTTTCACATTCAAAAAGCAACCGTTCTCACTGATGTTTGTGATGCATATGTTCATTTGTTGGCATTAATGACCAGTTTGCTCCATCTCAGGTCATTTTCCAAACAAAGCCATGCCCTCCACTGGCATCCTTCCATGGATCCAAGGGATCTTCTGCAACGCCAACAACCCCTGTTTCCAGCACTCAACCCGTGGAGAGTCTCCAGGCCTGGTGTCCAACTACAACAACTCAATGTGAGTTGATTTGTTTCATGTGCAAATGATGCAGATGATCTAGTCCTCCATTGCTCTAATACACATGCACCCCTCTCTGTTCAGACTGGCTCGGTTTTGGATGGACGCGCAGGAGCTGCTGTTTGAAGATACAGAGTTCCTGCAGTTGGGACGGCTATGGCGAGAACTCATGGCCATGAGCAACTTCATGGACACTCTCCGAACCAATCCTGAACTGATCGCAGGTCAGCAAACCTCACGTCACCTCGGCTTCCCAGCCATTCCTTCACTGTTTACACCACTCTCTCAGATTACATCACATGCTCAATCTGCCTTGAAGAGGTCCTTTCATGGGGAATGCTAAGAAGCTTATGCGCCTTCCATACTATTATTTTTAGAGAAAGCACTTCCATTTGTTTACCTCATGACGAGACACACAAATAGAAGTTGTCTGGGTTTGAGTCTGGCATTCCTTCGCTGAAAGCTCTAATTGGCCTGTCCTCGCTAGAAAAACAAATGTCTATGGCCTTCAGTGGAATGTGATTGATTGTTCTCTGGTGATTGACTGAATAATTGTCCAGTGAATTATGGTGAGGGCAGGAATGAATGATCTTTTGGTTCCTGGCAGAAGAACCTGTCTTAAGCTTAATCCTTCGTGCAGCAGTTCGCGTTCAAAGTGCTAATAGCATCGTGGCCCTTGACAAAAAAGACCCATGACTTGTTTTTTGTGTCCTGTGAAATGGTCTCTCTCTGGCTCCTCTAGGTTCCTGGCACTGATTCACGCCGGAATCTCTCTCCTCTATCACATTCTCTTTACACTTTCTTTCAAAAATAAGCATAAACAGAGCGATATATTGGCCGTATTTCAGCAGCTCATGGATGCCTGGCATACCAGAGCTGTTTTCTATCTGTTCATCTCATTAGAATGATAGTCATGCTGCTGAAATCCTTCCAGCTGAGCATCTCTTAAGTGTTGAAGTGCTACATTCCTTTCATCCTATTGAAATTCTTCACTCTGGAATCCTGTTCTCACACATTTTGTTCACTTCGTGTGCAGGTCGAGGCGTGAAAGTGGAGGACATTTTGAAGGATGACGAAACTCTCACTTCATACCTGCTCAGAGATGTTCCTCTAACAGAATCTGTGGTGCATCAGCTGGTTCATTCACAGATCCGACCTGAACAGGTAAACTCTGTTGGACTGCTTAAATGATATGATCCAGAAATATCCAATATAAATATTGGAATAATTTGAATAATTTGTCATTTACTTTTTATGTGTCCATTTCCCACCACACTGCAAAATACAGTATGCGCTTTAATTCGTTTTTAATTCGTTTTTTTTTTTTTCAGGTACTTTTTTTTTTTTTTTAAATAAAAGAAGATAAGTTTACTTGAGAAGAAACAATAAAATATTAATTTTGTTTTTTACTTGTTTACACTTATATTAAAGACACAATCTTAAAAAAAAAGTCTTAATCTTTGCTATGTTACCCACCAAGTAAATACATTTTGTGATTTTAGAATTTTTTTCTGGAAACAAGACATGTGATTTATTTCCCTTAGAATTAAACTATTTTTGCTACTGTACCTTTAAGACTTATAAATATCCAGAGGAGTATGTAATAAGATTGCTTAGCCTCTTTGCATGTAAAATGAGTAAAAAAGTTAAGGTTAGGCCATTATAATTGAAATTGGCTCTAGAAATGGACGATATATTAATATCATATTAGTTATGGGTGATATTAGAGATGTTTTTATTAAGTGGATGCTCATTTCACCTATTTTTATTTTATTTTGGTGACCATTGCTGTCATCTAACGCTCCCTCAAAGTTAATCTTAAAGACACTTATAGTTTAATAACAATGTTAAATGTAATCTTTTAGCAAAATTTTTCATGCTGTACATTATAATGTTGTGATGCCTAAATACACTTGTAGCAGTATATTTTAGTAATAACAGTAACAGTTTATTTTAGTTTTTAGAGTTTTGTTTTTAAATTATTTACACAAAACAGTAATAATTTATTAAGATGATAAAAATCATCCGTTTACTGCCTACAATATGAAAATAGTCATTTTAATCTGTAACTGCCAGAATATCTTTGCATCTATTTACATTACAGCTACGGGTTCAACTTGAAGCCTCCAAAACTCAGAGAGGTCACTAACCCGAACCGTCCTTTTTTTGTGATTGTCTAATTTAATCGCGAATGATACGCAGATTGATTTCGCCGCAGAGACAAAAATTCATCTGCTTTCTCTGCTGCTTTGTTGGTGGACTTGAATGTCTCTGTTTGAGACTGAGAGAATCTTGGCCGCTTCTCAAGCGCCCGTTTGTTCAGCATCAGACTGCATGTTTGGGTTTCTCAGCTCTCTGTACAGACCTTTTGTGATGTATATATTTGTCATCCCAGGGCCCTGTGAGTAATCAGACCCCCAACCTAAGGCAGAACGGCTCTGGCTGAACCTCGCCCCCATGTTACCCTGCCCCGAGATTCTTTGTGGGTTTATTTTCCAGTGAGAACAAAGCACCGATGATGATTTGCACGAGACCCTGTCTCCTTTGATCTCGAGGGCAGCGATGTGGACAAAGAGAAGAGCAGGTCTAGAGGAAGTGATTGCATGAACACAAGAACATCAGGGTCCGAGTCACTTTCATATGGAAATGTAACGGAGAGGAATGCTAGGCATTTTGAAGGCTTTCTCAGAGGTGCTGCCAGTCAGCCAGCAGGGGCGTACAGAAGAAGATGGAATGTCCTGGTTGGATAAGTCTTTAGCTACCAATGAAATAGAGAAAGAGAGAGGAAGCTGGTTAGAGAGGATGCATGAAGCTGGAGGTTTTCCAGTTGGGTTTTCTTGCGCACTGGTTCTGAGCCATAGCTTGCATCTATGTTTCATCCAAGTGTGTAGCCCATTGTTGAGGCAAAGACAAACAAGCACTGCGTACGAAATCGTGTACTGTCTGAGTAGGTACTACATTTGAATGTGAATTTACTTCGTCAACGTTAAAAAAATATACAGTATGAAAATGGGTATTATGAATGAAATTTGGACGTACTACATCCGCCATTTTGTTTCTGTCATGTGACCTACCAGCGTCAGTTGCGTTGTTTCACTTCCCTTCATAAATCCTCTCCCACAGCCCCACGGGATTGTAAAGTGTCCATCAAATGCACACTTCAGAATCTCGGCCGAAGTCATTCGGGTATAATTCGCCTACTTTTTTTTGAATATATGTATTCAGACATACTACTCTTTTGGCGTACTGTTTTTTGCATACTATACAGTAGGGAAGTATTCGATTTCGGATGCAGCGAAGTTGTTTATAATGTCTGAATATTGTTGTTAGCTGCTTGTACATACTGTGGATACTGTACAAGTCACCATAGTTTTTTCCCCTGCATGTTTCATGAAAAAAGTTGCAGACATAAAACAAATTCAAAGTAAGAAGGGAAACAAGTATGGAGGAGATGGTTGCGCTGCTTAATATTTTTGTGGAAACTGTGACACTTTTTTTAAGGATTCTTTGATGAATAGAAAGTGCATCGACAGCATTTTTTTTAAATAAATATTTTGTAGCACTATAATAAAGTAAATGTATTTACTGTACTTTTGATCAATTTAATGCATCCTAATGTAAATGAAAACATTAATTTCTAAACAAAACCTCCATTTCCCAAACCTTTGAACGGTATAATTTTATTTGTATTCAAATTATTTACAATATGTCACATACAGTATATCAAATATGTGATATCTATATTTTACACACATGCAGATCATTTAAAAGCATAAGGATTATGTAAACATACATGTTTTACGATTATATATGTCATACTATATAAATAGCAGATGCTGTATTGTCTAATGGTAGCAGGCAGCAACACCTCAGAAGTGTTTCTTGTGATTTAAGCTGATGGTTAAAGCTGTTCCAGGATGTCTTGGATGTTAATGATTTCCTCCAATTTTGTTGCCATCCTCTTTTGTGCCCCTTCCTTGAGTTGAAATGCTATTCCATGGGGAACCTGGTGGTGTTTCTAATCTTAATAATAGATGTTTGATGAAGGTTGAGTACAGGTTGAGTTTGGCTGACTATCTGCATGTGTGTATGATGTTTTGACTTTTAACCTGTGCATGTTGTACACTATGAGAGGAAAATTTGCACATTTTCATTTTCAAACCTAATGGTAAAACACATGGTTGCTCATCTTTTGTTGCTCATGGATTTTTATGTCTTTCAAAAGTTTACCATTTTGTTTCTGTCATACATTGATCAATACTGTGAATTGTGCTAATTTAGATAGCATTAGCTAGATAACATACCGTTGGCCTATATGAGTGATTTGTGTGTACTCAAAGCATTCATTAAAAATGTATTAAAATTATGAATAAACCAGTATTTTTTTCATAGAAATGGTATGTATTCTGGTTACATTTAACGCTAATGCTAATATGTCTTTATAGTGGGTGCAGAGAATGTTAGCATAGCAATTTTAACTAGTAAATATATCAACCTAACTTAAAAAAAAAATAGTTGATGCTAAAAAAATTAGCATTCATTTCTCTTTTTCAGTGTTATGGGTGCTAGTGTCTTAATCCATGTGCTTAAACAACACTACTAAAACATTGCAGCAACAAAACTGATTTGTTATGTTGCGGTTTTGATATGTTCTATGTCAATCACCGACTGATACATAATCACTCTAACTATCTATTTTTATCTATTTCCAGAAACGTTTTACTACTGCTGAATGTTTAAGTCCGGCTCAGACTAACACAGCATTAACTGCCCTCAACTCCTAATCTTTTCATTCTGTTTTTCTGTCTCTCTCAGTTTGCATACGGAGTTCCTGATCTCCATCTGAAGGACATCGCCTGCAGTCAGACTCTTCTTGAGCGTTTCCTTATTTTCCCGAGCCGTTGGGGCCTGTATACTGTGCGCAATGCCATGTGCGTTCTCACGCCACAGCGTCTTCAGATCATTGAGGACAAATTCTATGCTAACCTCGACTTCTTCAAACTTTTCCGCTTGGTCAGTCTACTCATACACTCAATAAAATCACTAATATCATCTTTAAATTTTGGAAATGGGTTTGGGTGTAGAGGAAGTGCTGACACAGATAGCTATGCCAACTATGAGGGAAGTCAAATCAGCTCATGTTTTGGGTGGAAGCAACAAAGAATTATGGTTCAGAATGTAGTATATCCTACACCAAAAAGACCAGCTTAAAGCGATAGTCCACCCCAAAATTTAAAGTCTATCATCATTTGCTTACCCTTGTCATTCCAAACCTGTGTGACTTTTTTCCTTCTGTGGAATACAAAAGAAGATATTTTAAGGAATGTTTTTAACGTTCCTGACAGTAAAAAAAAAAAAAAACATTTTCGGTTCCCATTGACTTTATGGACAAAAATTACAATAAAAATCAATGGGAACCCAAACTGTTTGGTTATCAACGTTCTTCAAAATATCTTCTTTTGTGTTCAACAGAAGAGGTTTTGAATGATGACAGAATCTTTGGGTGCAATACAGTATCCTTTTAATGAGCCATTTACGAATGCAGTTTTGTGTTAAAAAATGTGTAAATTTAAATTAATTTGAGCATTGCATTTTTAGATTTCCATGTCATGCACGCGACGCTGCTAAAGACGCGACATGAGATCGCAAACATGTTTGTCTAGTGGATGCTTATATAGAAAAAGAATGGAAAAGCAGCATAGTGAAATGCAAAAACATGTTGTGTGTGAAAAGCACCTAAGCCTGCATGAATTTTCATGTAGGTCTTGGCTGGTTTATGATGGTCTAGAATGTTGATCACCAGAAAAAAAGGCTGAGAAAGATGGTTGACCAAGGACATTTTGGCCTGGTTAAAATAAATAAGAAGCCTGATGGGGATCATTTAGGGCTACATTTATAATAAGAATAACATGTTTAACTTAAGCTTATTTATAAAAGACTGGGAACCCATGTTCAAAAACTTTTTTTAAAGTATTTTTGTATTTTCCCACCCTTTTAAATATCATTTTTATTATCATTTCATTATTTCAAGTTCATTCATTTGTAAGTGAAACTGAAAAAAAAAGAATATTGATGATAGCATTTCATTATAATTTCTTTATTCCAAATTCAATAATTTGTAAGTGAAACTGAACAAAGGAAGATTAATGATTGATTATAGCAACAGAAAGTGCATGTTTTTGTACTTCCTGTTTGATGATAGCTCTTACATTTTTGTAGAGTTAGTATCCCCACACACCCTTCCTGGTTGTTCTTGGTAGTTTATGGTTTCTAAATGAGCGTGGGGAGAGGACAGAGGGGCATTAGCCTGAGTCACCCGATCAGTGTTAGTGAAGGGAACTGTCTTGGTCTATTTCACTAAGTAGATTACAGTCAAGACACCTCTGCTGGACTAAACCCTATGAGAGCTTTAAATAATAATACTGATAGACGGTACTAAAGACTACTTCATCCAAGCTTCCCCCTCTGAACAGATGCATAAACACATTAATATTTATTCATTTGCTAGACACTTTTATCCAAAGCCACTCATGTGTTGTTAGCGTTACACTTGAACACTGCAAGTATAATGGCTCTAATTCTCAGTCATATGCAATGTGTTATGTTATAAGTCACTTTTAGCATTAGAGATATTGAGAGGCTGATAGGAAGGATGTCTCATATTTGAGGTTGCTCCTGTGACACACATACATGGCATTTCCTGAACTTGGTCCCTCTTGGTCCATTGTAAAGTAGCTTGTATACTGTTGAAGAAAGATTGTTTCTGGAAGTGTTACATCTCGGAAGACAGGATGTGAGCTATACACGCATTTCCCAAACCCTGCTTTGCTACTTCAGCTAAAATGATTTGGACACTGTTTTAAAATGTTAATTTCATTTTATACATATATTTGTGACATAAATGTAACTGAAACCATTGTTATAATTATTAATTTATTACTAAAACTGAATCCATAAAAACATTTTCATTACTTAAAATGAAAATGAACTGAAAATATAATTCATTTCAGCTAGTTGCCAAGGCAGCATTTCTCTTTTTCGTTTAATTTAAGTTGAAGAACTAAATAATTAGAACAAACTAAACTAAAAACTAAAACTTGATGATAACTATATAGACACAGACATTAAAAATAAAAATGACAAAAATACAACAAAATTACTTGAAAATGTATACAATAAAAAATAAAATCTAAAAAAAAATATTAACAAAAACTATAATAGTATATCAATGATTCTAAAATAACTGACAGAATTTTTTTTAACTTATTACTATTTATGTATTATTGCTTGTATTCACGTACTTTTTGTGTCACATTTTGTGGTCACATTTCACATCAGGTGTCGAGTCTGTCGGCTGACAAAACATTGACAAAAAATCGTCTTTCCCAAAAATTTCCAATTGACAAAAAACTCATGAAAACTTGTTTGCAATGACATTAGGGCCAGATTTTTACAGTTTTTCTGTATTTACTAACGACACGCAGTGAAAAATTAGCACTGACAAGGCGTGGACAGGGTTATTTTTGTGGCTGGCCTTATTGCATATGCATTTGTAGGAGTTTGTGATTTAGGTGATTTACTAAGGTTTTCACTAGTCAGTTTACTGGTATTTGCTCCATTATTTACCGCCCTAAAAAAGCATGTCTTAAACCAGACTCTAATTTGCGCTGCTCTTGGTAGATTGCGTTGGTCATCATGGAAATGATCCGGCTGCGTCTGTGTTCTTTAATTTGCACGTCATCAGTAGATCAAGCACATAACTTTCCACTCTCATTGACGCTTTTTTGGTATTGCGTTCCCATGCTAATTTGCCCTGTTTAGTAAATCTGGCCCATGGACTGTTAATGTATTGAATGCACTGTACATCTATTCGTCTATGCCATCTAACTTGATGGTCTCATTTCCTTCTCTTCTCTCATTCCCAGCTTCCTCTAGTTCTCGATAACTACTCCAATGGACTCGACCTGCACTTCTGGGCCCGACTTCTGCCTGCCGTGTCTGAGAAGCTGAGAGCGGTGCGTATGGGCCTCAGGGCCCTACAAAAGTTCAACTGTATTTTTAGCGATCAGGAAATCACGATTTCCTCTGCTTGACTTTTTACGCAAGGATACGGATATGGAGATATCATTGGTGTGTGTGTGCAGAAAGCTAATTTCAGCCACTGCTCGGTCAGATTCATTGTAAATAAGGTTGAGGTTCACATGTGGTTAGTTGACAGTTGAGGGCATTTTATACCCTGCTGAAATGGGGGAAACGCAGCACGGATGTTATACGTCAATGCCTGCTGGTTAAAGTGTGTCAGTGTGCCCCTGAGCTCTACAAGTCAGGGACTTCCTGTCGGTGGGGCTGGTCTTTTTTTGTTCTGTCGCTCGCCTAAGAGGGACCCTGACACCAATTACTCATTTTCCGAATTCCTTTTTCATCATGTTCTCCATACCACTGGGCCAGATGTACCAAGAACAACATAATGAAAAAAATCCAGGAATTAACTGTCTCCTGTTTTCCAAAAATATCCCTTTTTATTAACTTGTGAGGAAACAAATGTGTTTTACAGAACTTGCTGGCTTTTGTTTGAAGGAGTTTGTAGGAATCAATGCACTGCTGTTATCTGACATCCTCTAGACGCTGTTTTTTCTCTCTCTTCACCTGCCGTAGTACCGTGGACCCCAGAGGCTCAGATTATCTGTCCTGTGTCTGTAGGCTTTGATGTGTTTGAGTTTAGAGGATAATGGACTTTCCCACCCAGAGGGATTTTAGTTTGGTGCCAAAAGATTTGGTTTGCCTTCTGACTCCATGACAGATATGAAATTCGTACTCCTTACTTTGTTGAAAGATGTGCAGATTACGGTGATTTCGGCACAAACCACATCAGAAATATTTTAGTACAATTAATTATTTATTGGAAGTAGTCCAATATTAACGACAGTAAGGGCACACATATGGAATATGAATTATATTGCATTAAATACAAAAATTTGACATGACTTTTAACCAACTGAAATGAAATGCTCTCCATGTTCTAAGTTAGACAACCAGAAAGTATCCAAATACTTTTTTGCATAATTTGTAACTGTCCAATTTTGTGCCAAACGTTTTTATGAAATGTTTTGCGTGAAAAGTGAGCTTGTGCTTTAAAACAGAAATATAGAATATAAAACATTTTGGTTTGATATTTGATATTATAAGTAACGCAATGAAATTCATGCATTAAATGTGACTTAACTGTCTGAATACCTTTTTGGAACCACTGTATTCTAAAAACATTGATTGTTTTTTTGTTTTTTTTAGCTAAATTAAAAAGTGAACATTCATTTTGATTTTGAAAAAAACCCTCCTATACCCCTTTTTCAACAGCTGTTTGACAGAACTAGCTCTAAAGACCTCCTACAAGTGGTCTCTCTATTGCTTCAGTCCCATGAGACCCCATCTTTCAGCCAACTCATGGCCGCCACCTCCAGCTTGTTCTGTGGCTACACTGAAGGGGCCTTCTCCAGGGTCACCTCCTTCAACTGGTACGAGGATAACAACTACAAAGCCTTTTTGGGCATCAACAGCACAAGGGGAGAGGGGAAGTACAACTACGATCACACGGCCAGTGAGTACTTTACACAGACTTTAGTTTAGACTGATGAAGAGGAAAAGAGGAGAAGAGAATGTTCTCGTGTTTCTCATAACTCCATATCTCTTGCAGCTCCGTTCTGTAACGACCTCATGAAGGATATGGAGTCCAATCCGGTCACAAGGATTGTGTGGAGTTCAGTCAAGCCTTTCCTGATGGGCAAAATTCTGTATGCTCCTGATTCCCCTGCTGTCAGACAGATCATTAAAAATGTAAGAGAAACAGCTCTTCTTTGACTGTACACACACCTGGAACAACAGTAGATGAGTGTATTAATAATACAGGTAATCTTGCTCCGGGCCTGTCAGATAAATCACATCATTGCTGTAGACATGTCAGCGGGTTAGCCAGAAGGGGAAATGACGCACGACTGACGGCTTCCCATAGAGGCTACGTGTGTTTTCGTCTGGGCGCTTTTTTAAATGAGTTTCCCCTCTTTCCACGTATAGCATACCCTTAGCCTTCCTGTACCTCAAAAAGTCAAGAATGGCATTAGCAACTGATAAAATATACCTTAAAGTACATGTAAGTTGCTTCAAATAGGTAGTTGTGTTTATACATCTGGGATCTGAAAGTCTAATAGACTGGCAAATGCATAAAAACGACTACCTGTCCAACTTTTTTGTTTGAACAGAGTAACTGTCTTCTGGGAAACATGTAAGGTTACACTTTATTTTGATAGTCCACTTTAGACATTCTACTGACCATAAGTAACTTTGCAACATGTCAACTAACTCTCATTAATTTGCAACTACATGTCAACTAACTCTTATTAGAGTATTAATTGACTGTTAGGTTAGGGTTTGGGTTAGTAGAATAAGTTGACATGCACTTGCAAAGTTACTTATAGTCAGTTGAATGTCGGTTGTGGGACCATCAAAATAGTGGGTCCCACTTTATATTAAGTGGCTTTAAGTACTATGTACTGTACTTACATTGAAATTAATAATTTGATACAATGGACTTATTGTGTACATACATGTTTTTACGTTGTACTTGTATTTTAAAAATACCAGCATGTAATTACAGCTGTAATTATTTTATGTTATGACATATGTAATTTCACAGTTGACCCTTCCCTTACACCTTAACCCACCCTTATACCTATACCACACACACCTGTCCCTAACCTTACCCGTATCACATCTCAATAGCAGCAAAAGTGTTTTACAATACAACATGAACACAATAAGTACATAGTACTTAAAGCCACTTAATATAAAGTGGGACCAAATAGGGTTACTAGATATTAACCAAAAAGTCTACTAATACTCTAATGACTAATATGACATGTAGTTTACTTATAGTAGAATATCTAAAGTGAACTATCAAAATAAAAAGTTACCACATTTGAATATTATGTAGCTTCTTAAGGGCAATATTAAATGAAAAATGAAATAAAATCAAAATAAGAAAGAAATACACATCGTCTTGTTAAAAAGTTTACACCCCTGGCTCCAAAAGCATTGTGTTGCCTCCTTGAGCACCATTGAATGTTTTTACCTTTTGTAATAGTTGTAAATGAGTGCTTCAGTTGTCTCAATTGTGAAAGATGGATCTCAAAACCATATAGTGCAGCTCTTTGTAAATCTTTCCTTGGTGCCTCTCAAACTGAAAAAGTGGAAGCAAAAAACAAAGAATTTGAGTGAGGGAGGGAGGTAAGGTTTTGCCCCTGGAGAGAGCTCCGGTGCAGGACAGGCTTAGGTGGGGACATGCTTGCCCTGGGCAATGGGCCATGGCTTTGGTCCCATCAGATCAGCTTTAGAAAGCTTCAGTTTCTCTGTTTATGCAGTAGGGCTTTCAGTGGGACTGTGTAAACTGCTCCTGGTGGGAATTCAGTCATTCTGTGGTCAAACGCTAAGCAGACGACCAGTTGCCACCACCTGAGTATTGTTCTGTCTTTGTGACGGTGCCATTGTATGCTAAACAAACTGATTATTTAATTTGTGCTTACTTACTTTTATTGAATGCATCTAACCTTTGTTAGTTTGTGTGTTTGTGTGTGTTTACCCAGGCAAACACTACCTTTGAGGAGTTAGAAAGACTTATGAACATGGGTCGGGCCTGGGAGGAGGTGGGCCCACAGGTGTGGAGCTTCTTTCAGGACGGAATACAGATGAACATGCTTCGAGTGAGCTCTGTTTCTTAAACATTCTTTGAGAACATTCTTAGACATTCTTACACCAATACATTAGAGATCCTTTCATTTTTAGCACAGTATTTCAATTGTGAACGTGATTTCACCAATTAGAACGTTTTCCTGGATTAACGTCTTTGTTGCGTTCCAATAAACCAATCAGATTTAAGAGATATAGGTTTAGAGTTAATGTTAAGTTTAGGCTTACAACAATTGGGTTTGGGGCTTCTAAACCAATCTTATTCACCTATCACCTCTAGGAATATCGTTCCAGGATGTCTTACTTGGCAAAATCATGGCAACCATATTTCATGCAAGGTTTCAGTTCCATAATATTGTGCCTTATCTCTCAGGAATCCATTAGAAACCCCACAGTGATGGATTATATCAACAAAGGCCTCCAGGATACTCCGTTTACTGGCCAACACATCCTCAACTTCCTGTACAACGGTCCTGAGGAGGAACGAGCCCAGGACATGCCTAACTTTGACTGGCGGAACATCTTTAACCTGACTGACCAAGTTATTCGCCTCATAAACAGATACGGAGAGGTATCAAATACTAGCAACAAGAATACTAATCATACTAATCATGCTACTCGTATGGTGAACAATGAAATGCAAAGTGTGCTGTACTGCTGAGTGGAGTTGAGTTCTGTGTCCCACAATGCACTGACCTTCCATTTACAGTATGATTAACTACTTTTTATTTATTTAAACAAAACTGGATCTAAAATGCAAAAAGGTTTTTGAAATGTTGCATACTCCATTCTATTTTGAATATAAAGTATATACTGTATATCAATTTTTTTTTATACATTTTAATTTAGTTGCTTGAACAGCATTTATTTAAAATAAAGATCTTTTGTAAAAATGTATACAAAAAAAGTCTTTATCAGTTTAAAGTGTCTTTACTGAAAAAAAGTAAAGACATTCCAAATTTTGAATGGAATAAATAGTATGCTGTGCAGTATACAACATATACAGTGCAGTCTGCAGTGTGGTCATATTCCTTTTTTTAAACACAGCCTTTGAAATTCAAAATATCTTTTTTATAACACTGTTAAATTTCTAAGTTCACTCGTCATTTATAATTTCAGTGTAGATAAAGAGACCCAGATCAGCTCAGAAGCAGGAGGGTGAAAACCAAGTGGTCACTCTCAGCCGGCTCTGCCTCTGATGTCAAGCAGAACAAAGAAAACCGTTTGATTTCTCACTGAGAGTTTGCCAGTGTGGAAGAGCTCTTTAATGGTAGAGTTCAATGCTGAATGCCTTCAATACAAATCAGGGTGAGCTTAAGGCAGCCTGTGCCAGTGAGAGCAAGACCTCTGCTATCTAAACCATGTGTCTTTTAGTTTTTGTCTGTCTTAGCTAGCAACATTTCGAGGAGTGACAGACAAACCCAACGAATGAGTCCGATTCGATACAGCTGTCAGTCTTCTCGACCTACACAAAGAGAAAACGCAGGCCAGTTTACTGCAGTGCATACCGGCCACATGGAGAACAATGTCTCCAAGATCTCTAATAGACTCCCACCATCTTATGCCAAGCTGAAAACAAATCAGCAACAATTCAATTAAACTGAAGACTCATTGAATGAGTCTTTTTGGATACTAATATTGTGCTGAATTCTGAATACAGTGGAACGACTTGATCTGATTCAGTTTGACAGTCCGGCATTCAATGGCATCACATTCATTTAAAAATGTCTTTAATTTGACATTAAAATTTGAAATGTTACATTATTTATATCATTTATTTTTAATATATTTTATTCATATTTTCTGTTACGGCACCCAATATTTACTATTTTATATATAGAAAATAGTAAGTAGTGTGTATATATATATATATATATATATACTACTTTATATTTTCTATATAGAAAATAGTAAATAGTATTTCAGGTGTACAGTAAACAGTTAGCAGGGTATATATATATATATATATATATATATATATATATATATATATATATATATGATCAAATAAATGCAAGCTTGATGAGCATAAGAGACTTCTTTTAAAAACATTAAAAATAGTCATGTTTTTAAACTTTTGACCGGTACTATATATATATTACACGTTTCAGCATATGTATACCTATGATACGATAAAGTAGAAATAAGGTGAAATGATATACTTAGATACTCCCCATCTATTTACAGTGTCTTGTCCTGGACAAGTTCTCTGGCATTTCTGATGAGGACCAGCTGACCCATCGAGCGCTGGACCTTCTAGGGGAGAGCAAGTTCTGGGCAGGGCTGGTATTTGTTGACATGTACTCCTGGACCACCAAGATGCCCCCTCATGTCAAATTCAAAATCCGTATGGACATTGATGTCGTAGAGCGCACCAATAAGATCAAAGACAGGTCTGTCTGTACACTCGCTGAAAAAAACATTCAAATACTGTACCTTTAAGGGTACAAATCTTGTTTTTCTCTGCATTTATTCCAATATATATCCTCTGGGATCAGATACTGGGATCCAGGGCCAAGGGCTGATCCAATGGACGATCTGCGTTATATATGGGGAGGATTTGCATACTTGCAGGACATGATAGAACATGGAATAATAAAGAGCCACACAGGGAAGGAATGGCCGTTAGGAGTCTACCTGCAACAGATGCCCTATCCCTGCTATGTGGATGACCTGTGAGTATCACACAGTATTTTTAACATTTATTCATGCTATTTCTAGACCTATTTCTATCTGCTAATATTAGAGATGTAATTGATCATATTTTATTTTGTTTATTGGATATTTAATTGTGCATGCTCATTTTCACATTTAGATTACCTTTGCGTCATGTAACACTCGCTTTAAACACATTAATCCATAAAGCCTATTGTATCATAAAAATGTTCCCCTTCAGGTCGTGCTATACGTGTATTTTTGCTGTGAAATCTTTACTGATATTTTTAAAATATATTTATATTGTTATATGAACAGTTACTGGACCGAAGGTTTACTTGATTATCCATACATAATTATTTAGAAAAATATGATACAACATTTATCTGTACATCTCTCAATCATTATTGTATTGCATTGCATTATATGTTTTGTCCCCCACAATAAAAACTACAGAGCTTTGATCATAAAACTAAGCATTTAAATATCATCTTACTAAGACATATTGTTGAAAGATATAGTGACGCCTGATATTTATATGCATTTTATGTAGTCTGCTATACTGTTATAAAGATCTCAATGATTTACATTACAAGCTATCAGAATTTCATCTTACTTCCACTGCAAAATATTATTGCTTACTTTGGGCCTCTGAATAAAATGTTTCCTCCTTGAGCATAATATCCTATATCACACAATATGAGCTATTAAAGCCTGGTGTATAAATATGATACTCAGCAAAAACATATGCAGTTATGTACAGTACACGTGTTAAAAAAAAAAACTTATTTAGACAAAATAGTTACATTTTAATTAAGTATCCAATTTATCGATTATAATCCGTAACATGAAAATGATTAACGGCTTACTTGTATCTGAATTTTAATATTGTTGCATATCGTCAGTCTTCTCCTTTGATCAATAATCTATCTTCCTCTCCTCATTGACGTCACACAGCTTCATGCTGACTCTGAACCGCTGCTTTCCGATCTTCATGGTATTGGCCTGGGTCTACTCTGTCTCTATGACGGTGAAGAGTATCGTGCTGGAGAAGGAGATGAGGTTGAAAGAGACTCTGAAGGCCATGGGCGTCACTAACCGTGTGCTCTGGTGCACATGGTTCATCGACACATTCTTCATGATGGCGTCCAGCACAGCCCTGCTTACTCTTATTATCATGGTAAGAGATGGTGTCCAAAACACCCCTGATATCAGGAAACAAGGCCAGCTAAGACCAGTAAACCAGTGTTGTTTTCTTCAGTAGAATAGTGGTTAAAGATCTGGTCAGAACCAAGGTTGTTGTCCCTGACTTTCAAAAAAGGGTGCTGTCCCGGTAAAATATTATTTTAGGTTGCTTTCAACTAAAGTGTGAGCAAAATTCACAAGGTAGGTTTTTCTGTTTTCAGATTTCATTTTTTTGCTATACTGACATCTTGTGGCTACCATCATAAGAGACATTTGAATATGTACTATAGTATTTAGACTAGTTTATAGTGTATATATATATGTGTTTCTGTATGTATATATATATGTATATATATGTATGAATAAATTAATATTTTTATTCAGCGAGGAAACAATAAATTGATCAAAAGTGATAGTAAAAACATTTGTAGTATTACAAAAGATTACTACTTTAAATAAATACTTTTCTTTTGAACTTTCTATTCATCAAAACAATCCTGGGGGAAAAAGCTATCACGGACCACAACACTTTTACTATTTTCAATTGATAATAATATGAATTTTTTCATGAGCCTCAAATCAGCATATTAGGATCATGTGACACTGAAGACTGGAGTAATGATGCTGAAAATTCAGCTTTGCCATGAAGAATAAATTACACTTTAAATATATGAAATCTCTTATTTTAAATTGTAATAACATTCCACAATATTACTGTTTTTACTATATTGTTGGTAAAAAAAAGAAAAGAAATGCAGCCTTGGTGAGTGTAAGAGAGCTTTCAAACCATGACAAAATCTTACCGACCCTAAAACTTTTGAGTGGTATTGTACAACCAAATGTATGTTGTAAAGAATATAAAAGCTCATCTTTGTTTTCTCACAGGGAGGAAAAGTGCTGAACTATAGCAATCCCATCATTCTCTTCCTATTCCTGCTCACTTTCACCACGGCAACCATCATGCAGTGCTTCCTCATGAGCGTGTTTTTCAACAAGGCGAACTTGGCGGCAGCCTGCAGTGGAATCGTTTACTTCACTCTGTACCTGCCTCATATAGTTTGCTTCGCCTGGCAGGACCGCATTACCAAGGATATGAAAATCATGGCGGTATGTTGCATGATAAAACTCACTACTGAACGGAACAAATTCAGAACGCAAAAGCAACTTAAATGCGATATTCTGAATCTAAGATTGTCATATTGTGTGTCAGAGTCTGATGTCCCAGGTGGCGTTCGGCTTTGGGACGGAGTACCTGTCCCGTTACGAGGAGCAGGGTCTCGGCCTGCAGTGGGTTAACATCCAGACCAGCCTTCTGGAGGGGGACGAGTTCTCCTTTCTCACCTCGATTATCATGATGGCATTAGATACGGTCCTTTATGCCATTCTCGCATGGTACCTTGATAATGTCTTCCCAGGTAAACTATATTCAGGTTTATTTGATAATAAAAAGCCTATCAGAGGATTATAAGTGACAAATCTTGTGTATATCATCAGGGCAGTATGGTATTGGTCGGCCTTGTTACTTTCCAATCCAGCCTTCTTATTGGTTGAACCGACCTGAGCCCCTAAAACAAGGTGAGTGTTTTTTTTAGCTTATTATAAGTGGTTTGCACAGCTTTTTATGAACACGTAATCTTTTTTACACAGTTCCTGGAAAATCAGCAGTAGAGAAACCTGCTTTTGATAATCTGGTGAACAACACTAATGACCAGGCCAAGAACCACAATGATGACCAGGCCGAGAACCACACAGCACCCGAAAAACCTCCGGAGGAGCCAGGGTCCTGCAAACATGGAGATAAACAGGATAAACTAGAGAAAGAACCAAAGAGTCCTGATGAAGAGGAGACGATCAATCACAGCATTAGCACAGACTCATCAGGTGTGGGAGAAAAAACAGCTTAAACCAGTTTAAGGTGGTTTGCTGGTCTTATCTGGTCCCTCAGGTCTAGTTTACCAGGTTTGGAGACGTTTTAGTCAGTTAATCCATATGACCTGACCAGGTAAACTAGCTGAACATCAGTGGCTGGTTGTAGACTAGTCATACGATTTAGTCATACAATTTTCTTTCTTTTGAACTGGTCGAAACCTTTTTTTAATGTACTGCAAGTTACAGAAAAAAGTAGATCGCTGTGAATGTGAACCTGAAAAGACTTTTCGCCTTCTGGGCGAAAAGTCCCAGAATGAGTACTTCCCGTGAGATAATGAAGTGCACACTCGATGGACACTTTACTATCCCATGAGGCCACAAGAGAGGATTTACGAATCACAGTGAAGCAAAACAACTAATGCTGGTAGATCACATGACAGTAACAACATGGCGGATGTAGTACGTCCAATTTTCATTCAAACTACCCATAATCATACATAGAACGTACTTTTTTCGAAGTAAGTTCAAATTCAAATGTACGTAATTTCAGACGCACCAAAAGTCTCAATATAGTGCTATGTTTATGCACCTTGCCCCAGTTTAGCCAGGCTAGGTTGGTTTATGCAGTTTGCATCCGCATGGAACTGCTGAATTGCTAATTATATTACCTGTAAATTCTGACAGATATATTGTGGTTCCAGTGGGCTTTATTATCTATCAGGGGAAACATTTCATTCTACAGTATTTTGTGAAAGAACCTATTACAACAGACAGGAAGGTGGTGTTTCTTTTCTTACTCCTGGAAAAGATCCCATCAGATGTATTCAAAGACCTAACCAGGCTTATCTGCTTGACTAGAGCGCAGGCATCCAGCAGGTTTCTTTGGCTTTGAACTGATGGAGCCCCATGGGAGTAATTACTGCAGTCTTAGCTTCGCTGGCTTTATCCATCAGCACTTGCCAGCGCTCTGTCTTAAGTTCAAGCGCACTGTATAAGGTGGCGCCAGGCATGTGTGCACTAGCACACATGTACACTAGTATAATCGCACACGATGCACAAACACATCTCTGTCCGTGCCCTTTGTGGGAACCCGGTGGCCTTGCGTCTGTTTGCTTGGCTGGCAGGTTGGAATGCTGGTTTCTGTGTTTGTCTTATTGCCGGTTAATGTATATTAGAGTCGTTAGAGATGTTTATTTCATCATCGTGACAATGACATTCCTTTCGTCTCTCGGATCAAGGTGTATTTACACCTTTTCCTAACAAAAAGTTGACCATGGTAGCCATGGTTTTAAACAAAATAATAGTTACTTCCTGGTTTCATGCCCATTATTTATATATCCTCCTGAGACCCAGAAAAAAAAAGTTTTTTGAATTTAGTTTTTTTCCATGTCATCACACTGTTTAGAGCACAATAAACAAATGGTAAAAAAACATATATATAAAATAATATTTTATTCATACGTTATGCTATGTCCTCTGTAGTGGACGCCAGGACTAAGTTGTTTAAAAAATAAAATGACATGAAATTATATGTATAGGCAAAAACAATGGGATTTTTTTTTCAATCACCAATACATTTTGGGGTTTCAGGATTTTTTCAACCAAAATTTGTATAAAGATTATTCTCAACTATGTTATGAAAGAAATAATGGAATGAATTGATACACCATTTTACTTTTTGCAATATGTGGGTAAAATGGCCATAAGTTAATATTCCCATTCAATGCAATGTATCTATACACTGTATCTAATTTGCACATTAATGTGTTCTGGGAGCAACATTTAATGAAAGAATAAAGGGTAATAATTGGAGTAATAATTGGCAACATTTTAATAATAATATCTAACATTTCATAGGAATATTGATGTATAATTTATTTCCATATTCACTTGTTGTGTCTCCCAGAATGCCTGATAAACATGATTTTAGTCCTGATGTCCTCTACAGTGGACACGTTTGAAATCAATGCCCTGTTCTGTAACAGAAAGGTTTTTTTTTTTTTAAACCCCTTAACATTTTCCTGAGATGTTGTTTTATGAAATACAATTTGAAAAGTAGTCCAATTTATATTATAATTACACTATATTATCATATTTCCATAAGAATGCTACATTTGATCACTAAATTAATGTCAGACATTTTTAAAGACCAAGGAGAAGTTGTTTTCATGGTGAAACCTCCAAACATTTGGTATCTCTGAAAAGTCCTGAATGTGCTCTTTACAGGACACCCAGGTTGTGTCATGTGACATGTATGATGTCAGAGAAATTCACTAAAATATAATGTCCACTACAGTGGACAAAAGTCTATTCTTGGGTCCCAGGAGGATATATATATATATATATATATATATATATATACTGTATATACACCTTTTCTTAACAAAAAGTTTACCATGGTAGCCATGGCTTCAAACTAAATAATAGTTACTTCCCGGTTTTATGCCCATTTTATATGTATATATACACACACATATAATTAAACTATATTATAAATTAATATAATTATATATAATTAATGTGATTGTTTTTTATTGTATATTTGACCCTAAAGATTTGATTAAAATCAGAATAAGTCTAACTTTAAGAACTTTTAAGGAAATATGTGTAATATCTATACTCGATTATGTCCCTTTACACACCACATAATTGTATTTTATAAGGATCTGAAGTGTTTCTGTATAATAAACATGTAAAATCTTAATCACCTTCTAATCTCTTATCTCCAGGGAGGCACTTTTTTGAGCCCGAACCATCCGGTTTGGTGGTTGGAGTGTGTGTGGAGAACCTGTATAAGGTGTTCAGCGGCGGCTCTAGACCTGCTGTGGACGGTCTGAGTATCACCTTCTACGAGGGTCAGATCACTGCTTTCCTCGGACACAACGGTGCAGGAAAAACCACTACCATGTGCGTTTACAAAACCAGTGAAATGGATCTTTGTTTGTCCATAGGAACATCATACACCGTTTTCTTCTCTCTCCCACAGGTCTATTCTCACCGGCATGTTCCCTCCCACCTCTGGCACGGCCTATATTTATGGGAAAGATATCCGAACAGACATGGATGCCATCCGTAAATCCCTGGGAATGTGCCCCCAGCATAACATCATCTTTCACCAGTTCGTAAACCCCTCATGTGGTTTCCATTGGAAGGATGTAAAATCTGTCAGAATGCTGATTTGTTCTGATCTCTTTCTCTTCTACAGTATGACGGTAGCAGAGCACATCTTGTTTTACTCTCTACTGAAGGGTAGGCCGTTGCCCGAAGCCCAGCTAGAGGTGGAAAACATGCTGGAAGATCTCGGTCTCCCTCACAAGAGGAATGAGGAGGCTCAAAACCTGTCAGGTTAGATCATAAATACCTTTTTAAAAATCCCTTCCTCTGCAGAACAAACTCAATTCTGTTCTGTAACACCGTAAGACTGAATTGAGGAATAAAAAGAGGATATTGTCTTCCTATGTAGGTGGTATGCAGAGGAAGCTTTCCGTTGCCATGGCTTTTGTCGGTGGTGCTAAAGTGGTGTTTCTGGATGAACCTACATCAGGGGTGGACCCCTATTCTAGGCGCTCTATCTGGGACCTTCTGCTGAAATACCGTGCTGGTATATGAGCCAAACTAAAAAATACAATTACACTTCAAATTCATTTTTTTCTAAAGATGGTTTCTGTCATTTTAGATAGTTCTTATCACATAGACCTATGTTCAAGTGTTCGTTTTTCCAATAAGTTTGATCTATCATATTGGATAATAAATGCATCCATCCAGCGATAATATATATTTTTTATTATTAAAATTATTATTTTAAATAGTTTTTGTTTTTATATTTTATATAGAATATCCGTCCATCCCTCCATCCATCTATATTTCTGTCTAATAAATTGTATTCATTTTTCATATGTATTTTATACATTTAATTATTATTATATTCATATTTAATATTTTTTTTTATTTCTATATTTTATTCCCAATTCATACTTTTTTATTATTATTTTATTTTATATAGTTCATATTTTTATGCTTTATATAGAAAATATTACATCATGAATAAATAAATATCATCCATCCATTACAATGTGTAAAAAAAAAAAAAATTATTATTATTTGAGATTATTTTTTTTTAATATTTTATATAGAATATCCATCCATCCTTCCATCCATCTATATGTCCATCAAATTCATTTTATTATTATATATTTAATATATATACATCTTTTCATGTTTTTTATGATTTAATTGTTCATAGATTTAAATGTTATTATTTATATATATATATATATGATTCCCATCCATCCAGTTTTTAAATTATTTTATTTGATATAATTCATATTTTTATTTTTATATATTTTTGTATTATATCCATCCATCCCTCAAGATATGTGAAAAAATAGTTTATAAGTTTATTTGATATATATATATATATATATATATATATATATATATATATATATATATATATATATTTCTAATCAATCTATTGTAAAATTGAGGATCATCTAACAGACTTCGTTCTATACATTTCTGGGTGTAAAAGTGTGTGTATCTGTGTGTTATTCAGGTCGTACAGTGATCTTGTCCACACACCACATGGATGAAGCTGACCTGCTGAGTGACCGTGTGGCCATCATCTCTCAGGGTCGTCTGCACTGCTGTGGCTCTCCTCTCTTCCTGAAGAACTGCCTGGGCGCTGGCTTCTACCTCACTCTGGTGCGGCGCATTAAAGAGCAGCCGTCCCATGTCAGTCAAGAGGTGAGACTTTTACCATCCATTACAGAGAGTGTATAAAGCAGCTAGACTCTCATGGTTGTTGTGGTTCTCACAGGGTCAGTGTGAGTGTACTGAGGACAGCTCCTGTAAGTGCTCACTCTGTACCAAATTGAAGGAGAGCACCGTAGAGCAGCCCAGAGTGTCAGAAAGACAGATGGAAGGTAAAGTGTTCATATGTTTATATCAAATCAATTTAATCAAACTGCAATGATCATAATTTAGGATGTATAATCTCGCTCTCTCAGGGGACATAGAGAGAATAACGGCCCTCGTCCACCATCACGTCCCAGAGGCCAAATTGATAGAGGTCATAGGGCAGGAGCTGACCTTCCTGCTGCCCAGCCGAGGCTTCAAACATCGTTCTTACGCCAGCCTGTTCAGAGAGCTGGAGGAGACGCTGGCAGACATGGGGCTCAGCAGCTTTGGAGTGTCAGACACTTCACTGGAGGAGGTCTGTCATGCACAAACAGGCTCATTTACTATCATTTGTATTTGATACAGGAACATTTATAAATACAACAATTTGCCATTGGGATATTTAATTATTATTATTTTATTTTTTTTACCATCATCTCCCTTTTGTTTACATCCTGAAATAATTGTGTTGATCATTTGTTCAATAATAATAATGTTAATTTGTTTCATATACATATATTTGTTTTTATTATTTTGCAGTAAGGGATCAACTTATTAAAATCCATCATCCTCCTTTGCACACCCTGTAAAAATCAAGTTTTGTCTCTTGTGTCCTGTAGATTTTTCTGAAAGTCACAACTGATGGAGAGGCTGCACACATCAACACTGCATCTGGTAAGATTTCAGTATACTATCTCTCATTTAATCTCAGCTGTACAGATACTGTGCATATGTGTCAGATTATGTTGCTTGTGAGTCTTGTATATTGTGATGGTGATGTCTATATTTGTGGTTGAACCCCTTAGACATCAGAGTTCTGCAACAGAAATCTCTTGCAAGTCTTTATAGAGACACCGCAGTCAAAGTGAATGTAGAAGGTGACGACCAACTTAGTCTCTCAGGCTTATAATGCTTCATCCTTACTTCAGATAAAGCTGCCTTGCTAAAACAACACAGAGTTAAATGGACACAACAGACATGCCGCTAGACACTATGCTAATAGTGCATGTGGTGCAGGTTAACTCTTTGACGCATGGAGTGATTTCTTTTGATCCTTATAATTCTTAATTCTTGATGACTTATTAATGCTTATATATTTTTATTTGACTGAATATATTGTATGATATATGATGAAATCATCTATTGGACAGATGTGTAACTCTCAAATATTAATATAAAATATATTTAAAAATATATATTTTTTTGTTATTTAAAAATTAATACATCAAAGGGTTAAGCTCGCTTGTTATAGTTGCAGCCATAGTTATTTTTTATAGTTAAAAATTAGTTATAGAGCAATATATAAGCCAGGCTCATCATATCATCACAAATCATCAAAGGATATTTGAGCTTTTTGAGATTCTGTATAACGGTAAGCCAATTTTATTTTATTTATTTATTTTTTATTTTAATTTTAATTTTAATTTTTTTATTAATTTAATTAATTTATTAATGTATTTTTTATTTTGTTTGTTTATTTTTTTATTTTTTTTAACCATCATCTTCCTTTGTACAACCTATAATAATAATGTGTTGTTCATTTGTTCAATAATAATAATGTTAATTTTTTTTATTACATTTTGTCTATTTGCTGCATCAGCCTTTGGAAAACCTGTATTAGTTGACCAAAAAGTATATCAATAATTTTGTTCTAGATTTCCTTTTGACAGCGTTTAATCTTTTGTGCAGATACAGTCAGGTCGGCGTATGCTAATGGACAGTCAAACTCTGGAGGTTCGACCAGCAAAGAGTGCAGAGGATCCCCACAGGTGAAGGGAATCTTTCTGGTCCTAAAGCAGTTTTTCGCTCTTCTCATTAAGAGGTTCCATCACTCCACACGCTCTGGAAAAGACTTCCTTGCCCAGGTCAGAATAGCATCATTGCTTTGTAAACATTTAGCTTTGAAATGACTTAAACATATAAGTTGATTGTACTTATAAATTTAAGGCAGCAATTTTTTTTTACAGTGTTGATATTCTCTTCCTCAGATTGTTTTGCCCGCCAGTTTTGTCCTGGTTTCTCTGATGTTCACGCTGATTGTTCCTCCATTCGGAGAATATCCCAGTCTTACTCTAAGCCCATGGATGTACGGCCGACAGTTCACCTTCTTCAGGTACATTTACGATGGAACAGGACTAGTTTTATCCAATGTAAAGTTACCTGAGATGTTAAAAGCAGCCTTTTTAATGTCTGTTTCCAGTAATGAAGAGATGCAAAGCCCAGATATGAGGTATTTTGGTGAGGTTCTTCTCAACAGACCTGGATTTGGGACTCGCTGTATGGTGGATGAACCTCTACAGTACGTGTACATGATATGGATGGATGAATATCCAGAGGATTTTGTACTTACTGTGACCATTTGTGTTTCCCACAGAGACTATCCATGTAATAACTTAACCACTGAGTGGGAGATGCCCCTGGTGAACCCGATGCTCATTGAGATGCTGGATAACCCGGAGTGGACAGACATCAGTCCGTCTCCCAGCTGCCAGTGCAGCACGCCCAAAATACTCACCATGTTACCTGTGTGTCCAGAAGGTGCAGGGGGTCTTCCTCCTCCACAGGTCTGTCTCTCGACTATAGGTATGACACTGCAAATTCCTTCAAATGTTGTATAATGATGTGGTTCCTGCTTTTCAGAGGATTCAATCCACTGGTGACATGTTGATGGATCTGACTGGAAGGAACATCTCTGATTATTTGGTGAAGACCTACCCAAACTTAATACGGACAAGGTATTGTGGCCCATTTATGACAAATTGTTCAATAAATAGCTCTTTTGTTTCCAGGTATTCATCTTATTTGTGTTTTTGTTTTCAGCCTGAAGAGCAAGTACTGGGTGAATGAACAAAGGTATTGGTGTCTTAAACATGCAGTAGAAAATACAACGACTCCCTCTTGTGGACACTTAGAGAACACATATATGCGTTCAATGATCTAAATGTGTGGAAGAATGAAAGGATGCGGACTCTTTTCTTCAGGTATGGTGGCATTTCTGTCGGAGGGCGACTTCCTGTTCTCGACGTGGATCCTAAAAGCATCCAGAATGCAGTTGCTCAGATAGGACGTCTGCTTAATGTCACAGGGGTAAATGCTTCATATTGTTTTCATTGTGAATTTGATGTAATCATATTTGATATTATAAAAACAAAACAAAGCTACTCAAAGCCAAGTAGTAAATAAAAATGAATTAATTATGATTTATAAAAATGATTATTTTTTATTTAATTATATATATAATATATATACATAATTGTATATACATAATATATATAAATATATATACAGGCACACTGTAAATAAAGTCAGCAAAATATTACTTTAGTTTGACAAAACATAAGTTTTAAATGGTAAAACAATAGATATATTGAAAAACTTATTTAGACACTTCTTGGTTGTCAAAAGTTTCTATTTTTAAAAACTTTTTTTGTTTTTAATACATTAACATTCTATAGTTTTAATTTGGCTTAAGTATCAATTATTTTAATGGTCACTTTGTTCATGTTGTGATGATTTACAGGGCAAATACTCAAAGCTTGCTCTGCAGGAGTTCGGCACTTTCTTGAGGTATATGGAGACTGAAAACAATGTCAAGGTGAGATTTCTTTCAGCTTCACTTCCTGTCACAGTTTACTGAGCTCGTCCCATTCAAGATAAATAACCCATTTGTTATCTCCTCTAGGTGTGGTTCAATAACAAAGGCTGGCACGCTATGGTGGCCTTCATGAACGTGGCGAATAACGCCATCCTTCGAGCCAACCTGCCTCCTGGTGTCAATTTAAATGAGTACGGCATCACAGCCATCAATCATCCACTAAACCTGACCAAGGAGCAGCTGTCGGAGGTCACAGTGTGAGTGTAATGCTCACAGAACAGCACAAAGTTGTTTTACTTGCAAATCAGTCTCAGTTGAGTATGTAAAATGTCTGTGTATGTAAGTATTGTTTACTTATTCATTCTCTCAGACTGACCACCTCAGTGGATGCAGTCGTTGCCATCTGCGTGATCTTCGCCATGTCCTTCGTACCGGCCAGCTTTGTGCTGTATCTGATCCAGGAGAGAGTGACGCAGGCTAAACACCTGCAGTTTGTGAGTGGGGTCAGTCCTATTGTGTATTGGACTGCTAACTTCTTCTGGGACATGGTTAGTATGAAGACAGTACAACTTGGCTGTTCACTGGTCCCCCCCCCCAACATTTTTTTGGTTTGCAATGTATTTTTAGATATGCTTGAAATACATATTTTTTTTATCATGTTGTTTTTTACCATTTATTTTGTTAATTAAATTCAATTATTTTTAATTGAAAAAATATTTATTTAAACTGGCCCTGCAACAAAAAAAATATGGTTTTAGTTTTTAGCAACTTATTGCTAGAAATAATTACATTTCTCATTTACACATACATTTCCTTTGTTCATTGAATTAAACTATTTTATTAAAATCGTTTTATTTAATTTTTTTTGTACAAAAAGACAAACTGGAAATTATACTGCTACATGCAGTGCCATAAAATTCTAAATACACTTTTGCTATATAAAAAAAGGGAAATTATGCCATATGATGCAAAACATTATTTGGTTTGGTATTCTTGCTTATGCTTTCAGACTATCACAAATCATTTTTGCAATTTCAACTAAATCTATGTTAGCCAGCTAGAAAACATTATCTTGACAAATCAGCGCAATTTGCAACTACATCCTTATTGCTGAGCTCTGTATAAATAATGAAAATCATAAGTTAAATACTAATAAACTATAAGCATGTTGTTTTGACCATTAAGTGTCTTTATAGTGTATAATAAATATAGAAGTGTATTTATTCTATTGTCTTATTTTCTCTAAAATAGTCTTATAATTCAGTTTTGCTGTTGTCCTGTCGTTTCAGATAAACTATGCTGTCAGCGCGGCAATGGTTGTGGGGATTTTTATTGCATTTGATAAAAAATGCTATACGTCGCCTGGCAACCTGCAAGCCCTGATAGCTCTGCTGATGCTTTATGGGTAATGTGTTTTTTTATTGATCCTTTTACATTTCTTTTAGCAGAACAGCCTTTCTAGGTATATTTAGGTTTGTCTTATTATGTGGTTTGAAATCAAAAAGTGCTCAGTGTAAAAAGGTCACCCTCAGTACCTTTAACAGCACGGTCTGAGAGATGAAGGGTCCTGAGTAGACCCAGCTGAAAGGTTTGAAAGGTGATTTGTCAGTGTTTGATTCATGTTGCCATTTCCCAGTGTGTTTATTTGGCCCTTGATCACATCAACACAGGCAGTGCAATTGAAAGCCAAATGTCTCTCAGACTCTCCTCTGCTCATTGAGTCTTCTAGTGTGAATCCAATCCAGACACCCCAGCACAAACCCCTTATTCTGACGACAAAATCTTGTTGTTTTCCTATAAATGAAGCATATCTTGACCGAATTAGAATGATTCATGCATTCAAAGGAATAAGTGGAAATTGTATCTGAAGATAAAAATGTTTGTATTAATGCTGATTTTATTTCTTTAGTCTCCATAAATGTGACCTGTATGAATATTTTAAAATATTCTAACCTGTCTTTTTTCTCATCTGTGAAATAGTTGGTCAGTGACTCCCATGATGTATCCAATGTCATATGTGTTTAACGTGCCCAGCACAGCGTACGTCTCTCTGTCCTGCATCAACCTCTTCATTGGCATCAACAGCAGTGCCATCACGTTTATCTTAGACCTGTTCGACAGTACAGAGGTGAAACATCCCACCCTTCAAACTATTTTAGTCTAAAATAATACGATTTATTAGCTTTTAAACAACCCTCCAATTTCCACTTATATTATCATTACAATTTTAATCAGACTAAATGCATTAGTCATTTAGTCCAAAAGTTCAAGTGTAAAGGTAAGGTTCATTTCATCCTCCATCTGTCTCTACTTTCATAGGCTCTGTATAAGTGTAACCAGGTGCTGAAGAAAGCTCTACTTGTCTTTCCTCACTTCTGTTTGGGCCGTGGGCTCATTGACATGGCAATGAACCAAGCCGTGATGGACGTGTATGCACGCTTTGGTGAGTCCTGCTCCTTTCCCCACCTTGCATTTCAGTCGGTCGTATTGAGGTTGCAGCAAGCAACCCTAGCCTGGCCCCTGGCAAGGTGGACACACAAGTAACCACCGAGAACACCCTGGAAACTTCTTGACGACACCCCAGCAATCACCCAGAATACTATAGAACCCACTTTGCAACACCCTAACTACCACACAGAATATCCTGGGGACACCCTGGCAACCACTAAGAACACTCTAGGATCCGCATCGCAGCATACTAGCAGCTACCCGGAACACCCTAGCAACTGCATAGCAATGCCCTAGCAACCAGCCTTAACACCCTAGAGACCGCCTGGCAACACCCTAGCAACAACCCAGAACACCCTTGCAACACCCTGGCAACCACCCAGAACACTATAGCAACTCCATAACAACGCACTAGCAACCACCCAGAACACCCTAACAACCATATAGCAACACTTAACTACATGTATAGAGTTTTTTTAATTCATAGTTGGTTCTGAAAATGTAAATGTTGGTGACACTTCTTGTGGGGTTCATGTACTGTACATCGCATGTGCGTCTCAGGTGAGGACTTCAGTCTGGATCCCTTCAGCTGGGACTTTGTGGGAAAGAATGTGACATTCATGGCAGTAGAGGGGTTCGTCTATTTCATCCTGAATGTCCTGATACAGAACAGATTCTTCCTGGATCACTGGTGAGAAGAAATACATTCAGCCTTGAGTAGATCCAGTGGTTTCCATATATAAATATGCTGTCTCTTTCAACAGGATGTCAGATTTTAAGAAGCCACCAGTAACTGATGAAGATGTGGATGTGGCCAAGGAGAGAGAGAGGATTTACAAAGGAGGAAGCCCTAGCGATATCCTCCAGATAAAAGACCTATCAAAGGCAAGTCTGTCCACCTTACAGTGGTGCATGATGGGCATTGCTTCACACAACAGAGATCATGAATGCATTTTTTTTGCATTTTCTCTGTCTACAGACGTACATGGGAACGATGAGGCCAGCAGTGGACAGGATATGTGTAGGAGTGTCACCAGGAGAGGTAATAAAAGGATGCATTTGGTCTTTGTGTTGTAAGCTCCATGAGCTTTGCATGAACTGTTTTCCCCCCACAGTGCTTTGGACTTCTGGGTGTGAATGGTGCTGGGAAAACTACCACATTCAAAATGCTGACAGGAGACATAGCTGTCACTTCAGGGGAAGCTGCTGTGACTGGTTACAGGTTTGTTTAACTAGCTAATTGTAAAGGAATATGTTTGACTGCTAACACAATACAAATATGGCTAGGATGGTGAACGTGATTTTACCAAGTACAACATGTTTCTGGATCAACATGTTTGTTGATCCTGGAACAATATTCCAAACAACCAATCAGATTTAAGGGCTGAGTTTACAGTTTATGTCAAGTTTAGGCTCACAACTAGGGTTGGGTGCTTCTACATCAGTGTTATTCACCTATCAGGGGATAGGGATAAGTTATGGGTATGTTAACATGTTAATCCAGGTCTTACTTTTTTTTTTTTTTGCAACAATATCTATTTTTTTTACACCAGTAACCACCTAGAACACCCTAGCAACACCCTGACTTTTTAGGAAAGCAGTTTGAAAATAATAATTTTTACTATTTTGTTGGGTTCTGCTAGTGATGTGTAAAATGACCCATTTTACTCAACAAACTCATCTAGATTTTGTTCATCAATTTGATTTCTTATGTTGCTCCAGCATTCTGACCAACATCCTGGATGTGCACCAGAACATGGGCTACTGCCCTCAGTTTGATGCCATCGATGATCTTCTAACTGGAAGAGAACACCTGCACTTATACGCTCGACTCAGAGGAGTCCCGGAATCCGAGATCAGCAGAGTGAGACGATATTCCATTTTCTTATCTCTTCTTATTTATTTCTCTCTGGGGATTTCTGTCAGAGACTTTAACTTCTATCTCTTTGATGCAGGTGGCTGAATGGGGAATTCAGAAATTGGGTTTATTTGAGTATGCAGGCTGCAGTGCCGGCACATACAGCGGTGGAAACAAGCGTAAACTCTCAACAGCTATCGCAATGATTGGCTGTCCAGCTCTTCTGCTCCTGGTAAGAGCCTTTCTTTGTGAATTATCTCAGAATATGATAAGCTTTGTTACTAGCATGTTGTTTTTCCTGTGCCAGGACGAGCCAACCACAGGGATGGATCCTCACTCTCGCAGGTTCCTCTGGAACTCCATCATGAGCGTGATTCAGGGCGGCAGAGCGGTGGTCCTTACCTCACACAGGCAAGAACACGACAAAGCACATGCATAATATAGTGCTAATTATAAATACTATAGGTGTAGGCAATAATATCATAGCCTACTTTTTACAATTCTCCAGTATGGAGGAATGTGAAGCTCTCTGCACACGACTGGCCATCATGGTGAACGGAACGTTCAAGTGTCTTGGCACAATCCAGCACCTCAAATACAAGTAAGATCACAAATTGTATTCACTTGAAAATGTTCAGTTACACACTTTTCTGCAGTTTTCTGTTTGCATTGCTATTCTGTGACACATTTCTTATAATCATTTCCCTGCAGATTTGGTGATGGATACGTGGTCACCATGAAAATCAGGGCGGCCAAAGCAGGCACAGTCCCGGATCTGAACCCGGCTGAAGCATTCATGGAGAGCACATTTCCAGGCTGCATTCAGAGGGAGAAACACTATAATACTCTACAGTACGAGATCGCTTCTTCCTCTCTGGCCAAAATCTTCCAGCTCGTCTTAGCCAACAAGGAAATGCTGAATATCGAAGATTACTCGGTTTCCCAGACAACGCTGGACCAGGTATTTCATATGATCCTGTTGGCCTACTAGATAAACCTTTACCATTTAGATTTGAAATGAAATGACAACTAGTAAAAATATTTGACATTATATCCTTATGGTAGACATTTAGACATTAGATTCCCTTTATGTAGACCAAAACAGGGAGATCTATTATCAGTGTATGCGCTCTCCTACTTCTGAGACATGATGTGCCAAACTAGACAAGCGCAGAATAGAACAGTCCAGTTCAGGGTCAGAAGATTGCAACAAGCATTCATCCATCTTGTGACCGTCACCATTTGTTTCCATACCTGAATGTGACAAATGCACTGGAACAAGGGCATTTTGGCTCCTTATGTAGTCTCGCTCTCTTTGTTTCACTCCCTGTAGGTGTTTGTGAATTTCGCCAAGCACCAATCCGGAGAAGATGATTCCATTGTGTTGCACCCGAGGGCAGCCGGTGCCCGGCGGGACATGAGAGTCTTTCCAGTGAAAACGAAAGCCTGAAAGCTTGAAGAGGGTCATCTGAGCAGGTCAATTGGAGTCATCTTGCAGGGTCGCACAAAAGAGTAACAAAAGAAAAGGAGATGTTTTTTTGTCTTCTTTACAAAACACTCAGTTTGAGACTTTTGATCGTTTACGCCGTAACAGCTTTGCGCACCTTTTTTGATTGGCCTTTTTTTTATATAGAAATGCATCGAAAAATACAACAAAATACAGACAGAACTGGACTGAATTAGTCTTATGAATACTGTAGCACTTTATTTTCAAACGTGATATCTATTATCAATATCACTTTTTTTTTACAAAGAATTTTGTTTTAAAAACAAATCAAATGATGCAATAGATTTTATTGCAAAGGCTTTTGCTATTGAAATGCATATTGCATTGTTGTGACACATTGCAAGTCACAGCTTTAAGAGTTTTTGCCAAGTTAGAAAAGAGTAGCATACAAACAGTTGCTGTAAATGAACTAAATAATATATGTTTAGTTTTTTAAATTGTTAGTGGATATGGCTGATAAGGCAAGGAATTATAGAAAGTTGATTTTCTTTTTCTTTTTGTAAAAATTCACCAAAATAATACTATTAAAACTGTATGTGGTCGCTCACTTTGAACCTGGTCAAGAATTAATGAGAAAACATAATTATTTTCAATACAATCCAGACATATTTGTTTAATGGTGTGACTCTAGATTGTGGTTAAATGGCATAACCATTTAAACCAGTTAATGATATTTCAGGTAAAACGAATTATTTTTATTTGACCCAAAATTTCTTATATAAATATAGTTTTGAGTTCACTTATATAGCTCAGTGTCTCCCTGTGTTTAAGAAAAACAATTTTATTTCATCCTGAAGTAGTTGGTTTAAAGAGGTAGAGTTCTGTATATTGCACATGGATGGTTGGTGTAATGATTTAACCAACAAAAATTCCCACAAATCTGCTAATTTCAAATCCCAAGTGACATAAGTGCAACAATGTGCGACTTCATCTTGCATGATAACCGTGAGATATTTTTGAAAAGAGGATCTAACTTTCACAATCCTGCCCTGAGGGTGTCATAAATTAGCTTCATTTACATGCAGCTGGTCAGATGTGTCATAGTTCTCTCAGCCAAAATCATAATGTCTCTGCATTTTGACCTGAAGTTGGTATATGTGAATGTCAGAGGATGAAGGGGAGGATTGGCATGCGGAGGTTTGGGTAGTCCTTAAACTCTTGGGTGTAAATGTTGTGTTTTCCTTTGGCCCAGATGGTCATTTGAATGAACCCTACAAGTGTGAAGAGAGCCACTGAAAAAATAAATAATAATAAAAAAAATAAATAAAGTAGCTCAGTCAGTGTATATCAGATATATGAGAATCACAGAGCTGACAGCTGTTTGATTGCAGTTACTCACCTGGAACGCACTGGGTCATGATGGACAGGCCCACCCAAACACCTATCTGATGGAAAATGTAACCAAAGATGTGATGGGTCAGGCAAAGGTAGTAGAAATTAAGTTATAAAGATATAAATATGTTGCTGTTACCTCATATGTGTAGTTGGGGCATGATACAAAGAAAAAGAGCCATGTAAAAGGGTTTTTGGATGGATGTGGGAACCTCCGACATTTTGTACCTTTTAAACAAAAACAAAAAATAGGATCATACATGGGATCATAAGCTGTAAAGTAGTCGAAATTTGACATATGCACTCACCTTCACATTTTAAACTGTTCAATGACCAGTGGATGGAGAAATTACCTGCCTCACATAACTGAAACACAAACAATATACATCATCTTTGTTCATTTATCCTTAATATAAAATGGGACCCAAACATCTGAGATCACTAGTGAAAATACCTCTGTTTTGATTTAAATATTAGATTTTTAAAGTGGTACCAGATTTTTTGGATCACACTGTAACCTATGTGGTGTTTATTAAACCAGAAACATCACGTACCACAAAGATAATTAGTGCATAGTTGACCTGTGTCTCTCCGTATGCTGTAAAACATAAAGGTATGTTCATTGTATCAAACTGAAGTGACTATTAAATACCTTTATCTCGTCTGGTACTCACATGGCGGTGTGTAGAGAGGATGATTGATGTAGTAAGCTAACCATGCTGCAAAACCCCAGTAATATGCACAATTCTGTGAATTCAGAGAATCGCCAATCAACAGAGGATTCGACATAATCATAATTGTATTGTTTAATTTGTAAAATTGCTCATGTCTGAACTGTATTCAATGATCATTTTACCATGTCTGAAGTAAACAAGGGTGACAAATTACTTCTCAGACTAGTTTTTATTTGTTACAGTAGCAAACCGAACACTCACCCTTACAATGGCTCTAAGAGGCATCGTGCCTCGAGGAAACCGATGCACAAATATTATTTCAATTAGCCTCTTGATATAGTGAAAGGAGTGACAAGCACAAGCCAAACTAAAGAGAAAATTAAAATGTTGTTATCTACTCATATCTTTCAAAATCCATGAAACGAATCGGTTACCTAACGTAACCTCGGTTCTCTCTAGAAGAGGGAACGAGTATTGCGTAAGCTAGCTTACGCTGCGGGAAAGATTCATCTTTGCTGAGATATTGAAGCCAAAAAATTATTTCATAATTTTGTATCCATACACAACGCAGTTCCTCTGCGGCAGACCTAGAGCGGGCTAGCTAGCAGCTCATTGGTTCGCTCAGAGAGAACTGCTTAAGCCTATGGGAGAGCGGGGCTGAACCCGCTTCCAATGAGAGGCGCCCGCGCGCTCATTGCGTCATGACCCGCCAGAATGGGCGTGGCCATGGTGTATATAAGGAGCTCTCCCAGGCTTATATGTTGATTTATTTCAGCGTGAAGCGAAACGCTAGTAGCGCAAGCACGGCCGGGAACGCAATACTCGTTCCCTCTTCTAGAGAGAACCGAGGTTACGTTAGGTAACCGATTCGTTCTCTTACGAGAGGTTCTCTCGAATTGCGTAAGCTAGCTTACGCTGCGGGAACACCTGGCCAACGCCGTGCGCGCTACGAATCCACTCATGAAAAAACCCAGGGATATACCGGGGGAATTTTTTAACGTGGAGTGAATGTACAAAGAGGCCGCAGAGCGGGCTCATGAAGTGTACACATAAGCATGTATGGGGCCAGCAGAGCGGGCACATGAAGTGTATAAGCATTACAGGAGAGCACAAGGGGCGAACCGGTTGTGAGGGACCTCCAGAAAAGCAGCTTCTTAGAGAGCTGTTCGTCAGACAGCTAGTAATTTTGCCTGCAAGGCGGGAACTTCCATGTTATAAAACCTGACAAAAGTGGACGGGGAGGCCCATCCCGCGGCCACACAAATGTCATGAACGGAAATTCCACAGGACCATGCCCACGATGAGGCCATGCCTCTAGTGGAGTGCGCCCTGATGCCCAGAGGGCAGGGCAGGCATTTAGATGCGTAAGCAGAGGCGATAGCGTCCACTATCCATCTAGACAGTGTCTGTTTTGAGGCGGCCAGACCCTTGGTGCGCCCCCCAAACGACACGAAAAGCTGCTCAGCGCGTCTGAACGCGGCAGCGCGCGTAGTGTACAATCTCAGAGCCCGCACCGGACAAAGGAGATTGGCATCGCGCTCACTATCGGATGAAGGCAGAGCCGATAGGGAGATAATCTGAGCCCTGAACGGGGTACCAATCGCCTTCGGGACATAGCCATGCCTAGGTTTGAGAATGACAATCGAATCATTCGGTCCAAACTCAAGACACGCGGCGCTGGATGAGAGCGCGTGAAGATCCCCAACGCGTTTAACTGAGGACAGAGCCGTCAGGAAAACGGTTTTGAGCGAGAGGTATTTCAGATCCACAGACTCGAGCGGTTCGAACGGGGGTGCTTTCATAGCTTCAAGGACTATAGAAAGATCCCAAACCGGAACCGACGGGGGCCGCGGAGGGTTCATCCTCTTAGCTCCCCTGAGGAAGCGGATGACTAACTCGTCTTTGCCCAATGACTGAGCGCGTCGGGGTTCCGCGAACGCCGCGACGGCTGCCACATAAACCTTGAGAGTGGAGGGGGACCTGCCCTTGTCCAGCATCTCTTGAAGGAAAACAAGCAAAGACGGCACCTCGCACGACCGTGGGTCCAGCTGTTTGTCGGTGCACCATTTTGAGAACACAGACCATTTAGACGCATAGAGCCTTCTCGTGGAAGGTGCTCTAGCCTGTATGATAGTGTTTCTTACTTCCTCTGGCAAATCAACGAATAGTCGTTGATCACCCATGCATGTAGCGCCCAGCGCTGTGGATGGGGGTGCCAGATCGTGCCGCGAGCTTGAGAGAGGAGATCTGCTCTGACTGGGATGGGCCACGGGGCTGTCTGTGACAGCTGCGTGAGCTCCGGAACCCAATTCTGACTCTCCCAACGCGGGGCTATGAGGAGCACCGAGTGGCGTGTGTCCCTGATCCTCTGAATTACCTGTGGTAACAGAGCGATCGGAGGGAATGCATAGAGCGGGCGGCGAGGCCATTCCTGGGCTAGCGCGTCCTCGCTCTTCGAGAAATATATTGGGCAGTGAGCGTTCTCTTCTGACGCGAAGAGGTCTACTTCTGCTCTGCCGAATAGTCGCCACAGTAACTGGACCGTCTGTGAGTTCAGGGACCATTCTCCTGTGGAGATGAGGTTCCTGGACAGTATGTCTGGACCGTCGTTCAGATGGCCCGGCACGTGCGTCGCTCTGAGCGAGAGCAGGCGGCTCTGAGACCAAACTAGAATGCGGTGCGTCAGTAGACAGAGATTTCTGGATCTGACACCGCCCTGACGGTTGAGATAGGAGACCACGGCCATATTGTCCGAACGGATCAGGACGTGGTGTCCCTGGATGCGCGGGAGAAAGTGCGAGAGCGCGTTCTCGACCGCCAGCATTTCCAGACAGTTTATGTGTAATGGGCTTTCCTGAATCGACCAGTGGCCGAAGGCCGGTGAGCCCTCGCAGACTGCACCCCAACCCGTGTTGGATGCATCTGTCGAGATGACTTTCCGGCAGGAAAGGGTCCCCATCGTGACGCCTAGACGAAACCATTCTGCTACTGTCCATGGCTGCAGCGCCGTGAGACACGTTTGCGTAACCCTGATCAGCTGGCGGCCCGTGTTCCACGCGCGGTGGGGTACACGGCTGTTCAACCAGAACTGAAGCGGGCGCATGTGCAGAAGGCCCAACTGAAGTACAGCGGAGGCTGAGGCCATGTAACCCAGCATCCTCTGAAAAGTTTTCAGAGGCCTGCGGGTGCCCATCTGGAACGAGGCGGCTAGACGCTGAACACTGCGCGCGCGCTGTGTAGACAGGCGAGCCGTCATCGTGACCGAGTCCAAATCTATTCCTAGGAAGGAAATCGATTGACTGGGATGAAGGGAGCTCTTTGTCCAGTTGACAGAGAGGCCCAGCGTTTCCAAATGGTCGAGGAGAACTGCGCGGTGCGACAGAAGCTCCGTCTGTGATTGGGCCAAAATCAGCCAGTCGTCCAGATAATTCAGAATGCGCAGCCCCTGGCTTCGCAGGGGGGCGAGCGCCGTATCCATGCACTTCGTGAATGTACGGGGCGCCAGAGATAAGCCGAACGGGAGAACGGCGTATTGATAAACAAGACCC